TAAGGTAAGGTAGTAAGTAAGATAAGGTAAGGTAAGGTAAGGTAAGAGTAAGGTAAGGTAAGGTAAGGTAAGGTAAGGTAAGGTAGGTAAGGGGTAAGGTAAGGTAAGGTAAGGGTAAGGTAAGGTAGGTAAGGTAAGGTAAGATGTAAGGTAGTAAGGTAAGGTAAGGTAAGGTAGTAAGGAAAGGTAAGGTAAGGTAAGGTAAGGAAAGGAAAGGAAAGGAAAGGTAAGGTAAGGTAAGGTAAGGTAAGGTAAGGTAAGGTAAGGTAAGGTAAGGTAAGGTAAGGTATGGTATGGTATGGTATGGTATGGTATGGGTATGGTAAGGTAAGGTAAGGTAAGGTAAGGTTAAGGTAAGGTAAGGTAAGGTAAGGTAAGGTAAGGTAAGGTAAGGGTATGGTATGGTATGGTATGGTATGTATGGTATGGTATGGTATGGTTATGGTATGGTATGGTATGGTAAGGTAAGGTAAGGTAAGGTAAGGTAGTAAGGTAAGGTAAGGTATGTAAGGAAAGGTAAGGTAGGTAAGGTAAGGTAAGGTAAGGAAAGGTAATGTAAGGTAAGGTAAGGTAAGGTAAGGTAAGGTAAGGTAAGGTAAGGTAAGGTAAGGTATGGTATGGTATGGTATGGTATGGTATGGTATGGTATGGTATGGTAAGGTAAGGTAAGGTAAGGTAAGGTAAGGTAAGGTAAGGTAAGGTAAGGTAGGTAAGGTAAGGTAAGGCAAGGTATGGTATGGTATGGTATGGTTTGGTATGGTATGGTATGGTATGTATGGTATGGTATGGTATGGTATGGTAAGGTAAGGTAAGGTAAGGTAAGGTAAGGTAAGGTAAGGTAAGGTAAGGTAAGGTAAGGTAAGGTAAGGTAAGGTAAGGTAAGGTAAGGTAAGGTAAGGTAAGGTAAGGTAAGGGTAAGGTAAGGTAGGTAAGGTAAGGTAAGGTAAGGTAAGGTAAGGTAAGGTAAGGTAAGGTAAGGTAAGGTAAGGTAAGGTAAGGTTTTCGTTTTTTTGTTTGGTTTGGTCTATTTTGGTTTTGTTTGGTTTGGTTTGGTTAGGTATAAATATATATATATATATATATATATATATATATATATATATATATATATATATATATATATATATATATATATATATATATATATATATATATATTACTGATTATGTGATTGGATATAGAGCACACAAAAAATATTAGGCCTCTGTCAATTTAGATTTTAAACCAGCTTGATAAAACAATATTTAATTCGAGGCTTTGAAAAACCCACTTTGTAAACCTAACGAATTAGTAACAACTTATGGGAAGCTAATATGCCATTTTTTCACTACAACATCTGCTACTTCCTTGACTGGTCGATATATGCAGGTGTGACACTATTCAATTGCGGCAGACAGGTACATGTTAGATGAAGTCACGTCATTTGAACACCGAAAACATCAAGTTCACAGGTTTACATTTATGTTTTAACATCAAACGTATTTTACATTGGGCTAGACGCGTTTTATTTTAAAGTTTGATTTCAAACCAAGTAGCAATAAATTTAAAAACACCATTTTTTTCTTATATATATATATTCAAAGCATTTGTGGTGAAAGCACCTAGGAACTTTAGAAGAGACCGTTTAGAAGATAACTGATGACCAATATGAATGAAGAAGCTCTGTGCCCTCGGAATTTTGGTTAGTTATATTTCTAATCTTAGCCTTTATGTAAGACAATTAAAATAAGTTGCAAAAAGAAAACTAAGTTGATGGAGTGGTTGGTCCAAAATGTCCCAAGTTCGAACCCCGGGCAGATAAGCTAGATAGTTGGGGATAACAAAACAGCTGGGATAGAAAACTCCAAACTCAAACAACTGCTACCTTGTAGTTTGTTCTGGGTTGGACAAAGACAATGGAAGCTTTTTCTTCTTCTTCTTTCTTTATTTTTAGTGTTGGTAGGGATCGAGCCTTATCTGCTGGAGGGTTTGAACTCGAGACTTTTTTCGAATTTATCAACCATGAGCTTTGCCGACTCGACCATGCTTCCATCACAAGGATACGTGTCAACTGGTTGTGCGCCATTGACTCCGATTTCAGCCTGCTCTTCTTTTTGAATTTGCTTCCATAGCCTTTGTCCAACCAAGAACAAACCACAAGCCATCAGTTGTTTGGTTTTGGAGTTATCTCTCCTAGAAGAGTAGCTGTCCCCAGCTAACGAGCCTCATCTGCCCGAGGGTTGGAACTCGAGACCACGCCGAGCCCGACAATGAAAGCAAATCATGAGAGAAAAGCAGGCTGAAGTAGGAGTTCCTTACCATATGGCGCATAATATGTTGACACGTAAAACGCGTCTTAGGAAATCCCGTCCCATATATTGAAATTAAGAACAAAGAAAAACAATAGAGACATATATCTAAACGTGTTAATTTCTTTTTCAAATTTGCCAAAATTATTCAGCAGTATTTTTGTATTTGCTAATTAGATGCATTTAAAAAAAAAACATAATTAAGCTATTGATCACAGGTAGTTTTTTTTTATTATTATTTTTAACCTCGAGAAATTACATAACATCGATGGGCCAGTAATGACGTCATTAATATTTACATGGCAGCTGGAAATTCGAAGCTCCACTCGTCATGTAGGCCAACAGTGGAAACCTGGATATATGGATAGACATATATATATATATATATATATATATATATATATATATATATATATATATATATATATATATATATATATTAAGAGAGAGAGACAGAGACAGCGAGAGAGACAGAGAGAGAGAGAGAGAGAGAGAGAGAGAGAGAGAGAGAGAGAGAGAGGTACAGAGAGAGAGAGAGAGCGGCTGCATAAAGTAATATTATGTCTACCACGCCTTAGACTATGACGTAAAGAGCTACCTACCAGTCAAACCTCTTCTGGTCATACGGTACCACGTTGTCATGTTCACGTGACTCCCTCCAGAAGATCAACGTGGAGATCGTGTTGCAGGAGAGCACAATGGCATACTTGGGGTGTTCCTATGAGAAATGCCATCTAAGTCAATGTCATAAGGCTACAATTATTTCTCTAAATTTTTCTTAAATGTATATAAATATGCTTTATATATATATATATATATATATATATATATATATATATATATATATATATATCAACCTCACCCCCCTTCATAACCAAGTACCTTGTAAAGCTGGTTTGCAAAGACGACTGATGCTCATGAACACAACACACGGGGGTGTGACGGGGGTGGCAGTGTGGGGGGGGGGGGGGGGTGGGGAATAAATAACCAACACTGAGATTTGAATTATACTTTTAATCATTACACCTTCATGGTGGGGGCAGTAAATCGAAAATCCACGAGTTCTAATCCCCGGGCAGATGAGGCCCAATAGAAAGGGGTGGTAACCCGTCAAGGAGATAAAACTCCAAATGCCAACTTACAGTTTGTTCTGAGTCAATCAAAGGCTTTAGAAACAAATCGAAAATAAAAACATGTTGAAATTGGAATCAACTGACTATATGGCGCAGAGGCGTAGCTAGGGGGGGGGGGGGGGTGGGGGTACATATGTCCCCGTGCGCCGACCCTAGTGGCGCCAAAATAGTTGAAAAAAATTAAAAGCTCATTTTAGCTGCGGTTTTGCATTATAAATATTTTTTTAAAATATGGGGGGCGGCGCCAAATTGAAAGTTTGTCCCCGGGCGCCGGGAAGGGTCGCTCAGGCTCTGATATGGCCAATAATATCTTGACACATAATACTTAACTTTGTCGGAGGAAAAGCCGTTCAATAACTTTGTTTTCAGGATTATTCTCCAAGACAATGTTTCGCTTCCTTACATCTAATCTAAGTTATTTTCTTATTGTTGATCATACTATTTTTATCCGATAAAGAACAAACTAGTATCATTAAAATAAATAATAGGAGTTATTACCTCAAAATATTTAATCGCAGTCAAGCTGTTCCCAAAGTCAACACAAAAAATGATCTGAGTTATTAAGCCATACTCATTATGTCCCATTAAGAACAAAAGACTATCATTCAAATCAATAATCTGAGTTGTAACCGCATGCTTCGTGAGAGCAGAAATGTCGCCTTCAAGAAAAACATTACAACAGATCTGATCTATTACCCTCTACATTACAACTGATCCATCTATTAGCATCTATTAACATTACAAAACATCTGATCAAATACCCCATAAGCATCCACCCTAGTACAGTCCGGCCAGGTCCCAAAGAAGACCGTGTCATCAATCTGTTTAATGATGACCTCGCATTCATCCCTGGTGTGAAGATCCTCCATATTGAGGTCATTCAGTGTGGCTAGGTCAAACTGACGAGGTCTGCAATAGTTAGCCTCGGGGTTGGTTCAATTGTCCAACATAGATTACAATAGTCAGTATTCTGTTCAGTAACTTAGATTACAATAGTCAGTATTGTAGTCAGTTCAAAATATTTTTCCCAAGCCTACCTTTAGAGAATATAGTTTATTCCAGGCATCTCTTCGGGGGGGGGGGGGGGGGAGTTCTGCTCCCCCGAACGAAATGAAATTTATATAAAAAATATATACTTTTAACAGTATCAGCCCCCCCCCCTCCGAAAAAGTCTACCGCCCCCCCCCCCCCCCAGAACGAAATGAAATTTATATAAAAAATATATACTTTTAACAGTGTCCGCCCCCCCCCCCTCGAAATAAGTCAACCGCCCCCCCCCCCCCCCCCCCCGGAAATTTTAAGTGTCCCCCGTAGAAAAAAGTCTAGAAGAAACACTGTTAGAGAAGTCAGTGAAATTGCCCCTTGCCTACCTGTATTATAAGGGTCATTGAAATGTCCCTTTGCCTACCTGTATTATAAGGGTCATTGAAATGTCTCTTTGCCTAACTGCATTATAAGGGTCATTGAAATGTCCCTTTTCCTAACTGCATTATAAGGGTCATTGAAATGTCCCTTTGCCTACCTGCATTACAAGGGTCTTTGAAATGTCCCTTTGCCTAACTGCATTATAAGGGTCATTGAAACGTCCCTTTGATTACCTGTATTATAGAGGTCAGTGAAATTGTTATCTTGCCTACCTGTACTTAGAGAAGTCAGTGAAATCGTTCCCTTGCCTACCTGTACTTAGAGAAGTCAGTGAAATTGTTATCTTGCCTACCTGTACTTAGAGAAGTCAGTGAAATTGTTATCTTGCCTACCTGTACTTAGAGAAGTCAGTGAAATTGTTATCTTGCCTACCTGTACTTAGAGAAGTCAGTGAAATTGTTATCTTGCCTACCTGTACTTAGAGAAGTCAGTGAAATTGTTATCTTGCCTACCTGTACTTAGAAGGGTCAGTAAAGTTGTACGGCTGTATACGAATGAAGCCCATGTCATCTTCAGAGATTCTCAAAACCTGCAGCCTGAACACCTTGTTGTTGATAACTTCCTCCATCACAAACACACAGTCCTGAAAATTTGAGATCCGTTCAATATTTTACTACTGATCGTTGAATATTTTGAAAACGATATTCTTAAAGTGTAAAAACTGCACACTGATAATACAGGCTGTAACCTAAATCTTCTAACCTAAAATTAGTTAAAATGATTACATGTTGAAACTGTTGAAGAAATAATTAGAGCTATTATGTTATTTAAAGGGACGGAGTGACCTAGCACTAGAGGGCTAAAATCCGGGTTCATGTCATTAGAACATCCTGGAGTCCACCTAGCTCTGGTGTGTACCACGTTAGGAATAGTAAAGGCGGCTGGTCATATTATCCTTTCATATGCCAAGTTCACAGAAATCGGTGAACTCTACCTCTCTTGTCCCATTGACCGTCAGGTTTGAACTCTACTACTACTTACCATTATATCATTGTGGGACTGTGTGGTCGTATAGCAGAGCATTTGACTGCTAACCTACATTTCTCGAGTTCGGGTCCCTGGCTTAAATCGTAATGCATCCCTAAGTCCCTAACTGACTCAAGCTATGGAAAATAAAGGCTACTAAGCTTAGTGCTGACCACATGACCCCTACATGAAATGTATGAACTCTACTTCATCTACACTAAGGATCTTCGGGTCTGCTCGTGTTTGGATACTGGTCTTGAGTCCCTTGAGAATCCTTGAGTACCCCAGCTCTGATGCGCCCTGCCTTAGGTTAGGGAAGTAAAAAAGGCTTGGCATAATGCTGACCACACTATCCCTTCATATGTTGAGATGACACGATCGGATGAACTCTTAAGTTGAAAAGGATAATTTTTTGTTGCTTTTGCTTACAGGCAGTAGAACGTCCAGCTGTATGGGGGTGAAGGTCGTGTTGATGACGTCATGGATGACGTCCTCTTCAAACAGGATGTCCTTCTTGACCATCTTGATGGTGCTGTAGTACCCGCTCAACATGTAGAGGAAGGTGGACAGGCGGGGTGATGGTGCTGGTGAGGTACACAATTTATTGTCTTAATAGGTAGGTTTGTTTAGATTAGGTTGTATTGGTATAGTTAATTGAAGAAAAAAAATGTGTAAATGGAACATTGAATATTAATACTTTTTTTAAACATAGTAATAGACAGTTGCGGAACTAGAAAAAAAGGGCCACCCCGCAAAGAATTTTTTTTTGGGCCCCATACATATATATACATATATTATTTTTTCAACTGTAAAAAATTGATTATGGTCGGCTGTGGGCCCCTAAACGTCCTCCCCCCCCCCCCCGCAATGCGGGGTCTGGCGGCACTGTAGTTCCGCCCCTGGTAATAGATGTGTCTATAGAAAATGTGTAAAACTAATAGAAATGTAGGCCTATAAGGTTTTTAATTTATTAATTTACTAAGAGAACCGTGTGTTATTTTTAAAAATAGGTGATAAGTTAACTAGTCTAAGTTTTGCTTGTTTCTGTTTATAAACGAAAAGTTTGATATCAGAAATGAGTGTTACAAGAATGCGCCAATATATATGGTTGAGTAAAGAAAAAGTAGTTGAAATATTTGTAATTAGAATAGGTTTAATAATGGAAATGTGCATATGATTGAAAATAGGTGAATGAACAGAATTAGTTGTGTGTAAAGAAAAATTAATTGTGTTATTAGAGCGTTTTCTAAAATAAAAACATGTTTTAATAATTCACCTTCACAATTCGAAGCTGCACTAGCCACTCTATAGAGGGTTAGACTTGCAATCAGCAGAAATATCACAACACACCTCATGGTAGTTCTAGTTTACCTCAAGCTTAGCTCAACTCTTTAAACAAATTCTTGTAACAGATATTTTAACGTGCTCATTTTTGTAGTCACAGAGGAGTTAAATACTTTTTTGTGATCTGTCAAGGACTTATGAAGAATTTGAAAAACCTAACAATTAACATAAATAATCATAAAATTAAAACGCTAGTGAAGTGACCATCGTAAAGGGTCATTACACACTGATAGTGAATTCGAGTGTAGAATTCGGAAAACCAACATAAATTATGCAACATGAATGTATAAAAATTTGTGAACAATAGAATATGTTAAAAACAGATGGTGTTGGATATGTTAATGTAGAATATTCATATGCAAAAACGTGATATGGGTATTACAAGTGTATGCGCGTGAATGGCATTTTAAGTGGATTAGAGGTAAATGTGTGAGGCGAGATGTGGGATTACCGTTATTACTTTAACTGTTATTGTTATTATTATTATAACTGTAACTATTATTATAACTATTATTGTAATTATTATTGTAACTATTATTGTAGCTATTAGTATAATTATTAGTGTAACTATTATCATAATTATTATTATAACTATTATTGCAACTATTATTATAACAGTTATTGTAACTATTTTGTAACTATTATTGTAACTATTATTGTAACTAATATTGTAACTAGTTTTGTAACTATTATTTTAACTACTGTTTTATCTATTATTATTATTATTATTATTATTTATAATAACAGTTATATTAACTATTATTATTTTCGAATCCGGGTCAGTAGAACGTCCCTGAGTCTACCCAGCTCTAATGGGTACCTAACTCACATTAGGTAAAGTAAAAGGGCCTCGTCAGAGTAATGGGTTAAATGGGATAGTTAAATGCAAATTGGTATGCGTTTGTATTCTTTATTATTAATGGCAAATAACCTATGAGAACGACGTGCTATGTATATGCATTTAGTTTAAACCTATTTCATAACTATTATGCCTTATTTGTTTTATGAACACAGGAAACAAATAGTAATTTACATTTTTATAGAGATACATATCTTTGCTCTCTATATAGTTTTAATAGTTATAGTGAAATAAACTCAAATAATACTACCACGTTTAGAGTTGGTAAACATGTGGGTCGTAACTAAATGGCTGCCGTTACCCAGAGGCGTAGCGACCGGGGACAGGGGAGTACATATGTCCCAGGGCGCCGACACTAGGGGCGCCAAAATAAGTTCATTTTACTATTTTTAGCTGGTATTTTGAATTATAAATTTTTAAAATATATGGGGGGGGGGGGCGCCAAATTGAAAGTTTGTCCCCGGTCGCCTCTGCCGTTACCGTAAACTTGCATGCTTTTTTCTTGCATTCTAAAAATGGTGAAATTTTACTTGATCTAGAAAAGCTAACATGCAGGCTACTAATGTAACATTGTTGCTTGCTTATCTCTATTGCATGCTCATTTGGTTTCTGGGGAAAAGTGCCTTTTGTATTATTTGACATTGTGGTTAACCAATGTTGCTGTCTACAATTGTACACTTGTATTTACATGAATTTATATTACTAGAATCGTATACACAATTACTATTTGTTTTCTGTTTAGGTTATAAATTTAAAAAAAAAATTAAAAATATTTTTTTTATTTTTTTTTCTATAAGTGAAATTAATTGTATTTTTTTTTCTCTTTTCCGCCTCAAACAAGTAATTTATAGCGTCAGTTGTGTGTTCGCATTAGTATTACAGTTTTCATCGTCGGCTTGTGAGGACTGATACAGATTTACAATAGTAATATTTCTTTCTACAAGTTTAAAAAAAAAATGTTTGAGGACTGTATAGATATAGATGTTTGAAAGGGAAGAATGTTTGCTTTGATGTGTCTCATTGTAATAACATAACTTTTCCGATTGCTTAAAATTTGTATCATTTTAATTCTCGGTAATCCCAATTTTTTTTCAGCTCTACTTAAAAACCCAAATTCCACCTCCCCCCCCCCCCCCCCCCCCCCCCCCCCCCCACCGTCCCCTCAGCCCACCACGCCGAGAAAAAAAAATCCCTTGAATCATCATTTAATTACACATTTGCATTTTCATTTTCAGGTTGGTTTTTTTTTTTATTTTTTAAATATTTTTCTTTATATATAGACGATTTGTATTAGATCTATGTATAAGTAAACCATCTTAAATGAATGAAAGTGAAATTAATTGTAATAAGGAAATAGATATGCTGTATCAGTGTCGGGTTAGCATCACTGTTTATAAAAACTTCTATAATTCATGACATTTTATTTTTAATGCTCTTCAAGGTTTTAAAAAGTAAATAACAAGTTTATTTAATATACACAATTGTAAATTTTAATAACCTTTATTGAATATATGAATGATTTTTTATAATATTACAAACACAAACGATTTTTCTTTATTTTAAAAATAATGTTGAATGTTAGCTGCATTTTTAATTATTTTTGTTACAACATTTGATTGTTACTTCCCTTTGTTCTAATCTGATTAAGGTTTTGATGGTAGTGTTATATCCATTTTTAAAATGCAGATATCGCTATCTTTCTCAAACTTAATCAAACTTAAAATAAAGTATATTTTTTTAAATACGGTTTTGAATGAAATTTTATTTGATAATCATTTTTTTTTAATTTGAAAACTCTAAAATGCTGTCAGTCTTTTTGCACTTCAAGTGTGCTATGAATCGCCTGGTCTATGTATTTACATTACTATCACAAAACATCACGTGCGAGCCTTTATAATGTAACATAACACTATTTTAGAGAAAGTCCTGCAATATGTCATTTAATTATTTAAAACTAGATAAATGGCCCGTTGATAAAGAAATACAACTGGCGCTAGGTTGATAGTGTTGTATTTTTCCCGAAGCTGAAGTGAAAACTAAAATCACCACCTTAACTCATATTTAACTTTAACGGATTTTATCACGAATCGGCATTTTCACAGGATCCGGAAATTTAACTTGAAATCCAACATCTAATAACCAGGGGCGGAACTACAGTGCCGCCAGACCCCGCAATGCGAGGGGGGGGCCACGCCGTTTAGGGGGCCCACAACCGCCCATAATCATTTTTTTTAAGTTGAAATTAATTTTCTTGCATTTTTGACCTGATGGTTGTTTTGAAAAAAAGAATACTGTAGCTGTGATTGGAGTATCTTTATTCTATAGACACCATCCCACGCTCTTGTATATTCTTTTTCCTACAATCAAACACAATCAAACACACGCTGTTGTCGGCAAAAATCTTTTGAAAAAAAACATCAATTGCGCGAGAGGCCGCTAGATATTAAGACGGCTTTTTGAGACCATACTAAATTTGGAACTGAAGGAACTGGGACAAACTTTCAAGTTTTCGATTTGCACCCCCCCCCCCCTCTCAAGTTTTTCTCTATATATTTTGCTATTTTTTGCCTTGGTGTCAAACCCCTAAATGGTGTCACCCGGTGCGGTCCGCACCCCCCCCCCCCCGCACCCCCCCCCCTCGCTACGCACCTGTATATGGGATTTCGATATATCTTTGGATATGGGTGTGAGGTGGAGCATGAGGTATTAGATGATATATTGAATATAATATTCATATGGACTCAAATGTAGTGAATAGACTTGGGTCAAAAAAAGAAAAGATACAAAATGAGTCTAAAATTTATTTTGGTGAGTTCAAGATTTTAGATTTAGGTTTTGGTTTTATTTCGTTCTATGAGAAATGTGGTTGGACATGCAGCAGCTCAAAACCAACACTAAATTCAACAGACACAAAACAAACACACAACCAACACATAACAAACGTGAGTAGATTATTGCTATACATTCAGTGCTAAAGGCGGAATTTCTACTGTTGAATGCGATAACTCAGTTCGTTCTAATCAATTGACATTTGAAATTTTTAATGAAAATATTGAGTACAACGTTAATTAATTTTTTATATACAAATTATTAATTATTAACTATAACTGTGAATAAATTATGAATTGGGTCCAACAAAAAAAAGTGGATAAAACAATAAAACAAAAGAATTTACAGCATAACAGATGTTGTGCACGCGGTGCTGTCATATGTGTCAAGGACGATCACCTCCCCTTTACAAGGGGAAGCTATTCATTGACGTTGGAGTGATCTTTACCTGACCTATATTAAATTAATTAGGATATTTTATTCACAAGTACGTAAGGTTTAACTACCACTACAGTCTTTTATGCTATTATAGCGTTAATATATTATTTACTATTTTTATCTTTGTAAACGTTCATAGAAAACGTATCCGTATATTGTAATCATTAACATTGGGTTGGGCGGGGTTCAAGGGCTGTGTTATATAACACGTTAATTTATACACGTTTTCGCTAAAGCCACAATACCTGTTAGTTGGTGAAATACCTACTGCCTTAGTTCAGTAATTCCGATAACGTTTTACTTCTTGTGGAAAATACGAGTCCTTGTCGTTGTTTTTTTTTCCATCACATAGAACAATTTATGAGACGTAAACCTAACTACTTTAGTGCTAACATAGGTAACAAACATAAATACTTAGTGTGGATAAGAGTCTGTATATATGTTTAAAAATGAAAAACAAAACATTTCAGTATAGAATAAACGAGGTAGACGAAATTTATGAAATCTTATATGGGCCTTCTGTCAATGTATTGATTACAAGAATAAAACAAACACACTAACTTACTTGTCATCATTTACTATTTAGCGAACTAAAAACATCGCAATTCCTTCATTAAAAAGTAATGCTCCCAGATAATTAAGTATGTCGTAAAAGAATTTATCAGCAACCTTGTCGAGCCTGTTGCAGCCTACAGCCTTTGTTACATTCATGGAGCTATGTGTATTAATTAAAAATACGGAACAAAGAAAATCAAACGAAATAAACAAACAACATAAGTAAACTAGTAAGTCTCGGTAAATTTTGATTACACAGCAATCATCTCCTGCAATTACGATCTCTAGGCTCACCATACAGTGATACATCGTAATCACTACGAACTTCATCTGGTAATGCAACAACGAATTCTCGACGTACATTATATGATAGGATTTTTTTTTAAATCAATGATAAATTACCGTTTTAATTAGGTAGATAATTAAACATAAAAGAAAACCATGTAATTGTTGAGAGTAAATTTTTCCGACTAGTGGAAAAGAGCGTGTTTGATAATGATGTGTTCAATTAAACTTTGCACTAACAAGTTACCTGTATTACACCGTGCCTCTCATAAAGTGAATTGTATTCGTGGCATAGTTAGTCATTGATCACAAAGAGTGAAAATGTTAAAGATTTATATTTTAATTAGTTTAATTCTTGAATTATAAAACAAATAATTAGCGTGTTATTTACACAAATGTTTAAGTACGCGATCGATTAGAATGTCGATACTTCTAGGTTAATGGCCTCTGTCAAAGGAAACCGGGGAATTATAAAATGTGATTTGTTTTTCCGCTAACATTTAGTCCTTATTTATTTTTATTACAGTTTTTGTCTTTGTGTGAGCTAGTCTACTACAAGAATCCAGTTGTTTTTCTATCTTGAACATAGTCTTGCTAAGCGAATTATTAGTCATCATTTGTTATAAAATATTGGAAAGTTGTTTATTGTTGTCAACGCTACGTTTTAATAAAGCCTATAGTGTAGACCTGACGCCGGCTAATTTATTTTTTGTTAAAATACCGATCAGCTTAGCATAAACATTCCAAATTGGTGAACATTACATTCCTCCTTATTACGGACCTCATTTCTTTTTATGTTCAGACCTATTTTGTATGTTACTAACACTGTAGCTAGGAAGAAGAAATCGAATTCTCAAAAGTTTTTTTTTTGTCATGTACATAAGTACAAAAATTGCCTACAGGCACAAAGCCATGAGCTTTTGTGAACAAATTACCTCCTAAAGCTTGCCAGTGAACATCATATTATTGTTCCGTACCTGTACCACATTTCAACTAGTATTTGATCTCGCAAGCCTACCATTTCCTAACGTTATAAACTGTTCACAACTATTCAAAAATGGCAGATAGCTCAACACAGACCTTGCACTACACCACCATAAACACTTTATCCCCTAACACCAGTGTGGTTATAAACCCACCCATCTTGATACACCCGCTCTTATTTGACATCATCCTAGCATTCAACCATATAATCTGCGGAGAAATCATCGGGCTGTTCGGTATCGTCTCCAATATCATCAACATCATCGTCTTCGTCAAGCAAGGATTCGACGAGACCGTCAACATCACCTTAACCTCTCTCGCCATCAGCAACATCGGCGCCCTCGTCTCTCTTCAACTCTACAACATCATGGCCAACCCGTGGATGACCAAAGCAGAGTTGTCCTTCCTGCCTATTGACATCGCGGCCTACGCCGCCTTCTACCCCCACAACTACTTCATCCGTGTGGGCGGTTTCATCACGGCCTTTGCCAGTCTAGAGCGGTGCATGTGCGTGGTGTTACCGCTCACGTTCAAGAACATCATCACCAAGAAAGTTGTGATCACGGCGAATGTTGTGATATTTTTAGCAACTTCCTTCAACATTTTCCCCGCCTACTACGTAGGAGAGTTGAGTAATGTATTCTCTGCTAAACTAAACAAAACCGTTATTGGATTATCTTTCAGGGTAAACCCTGATGCTATTTTAAGCAAAACGTATCTAGTCAATGATTTATTCGTACCTTATTTCACCTTTTTCATGATAATAACATGTAATATTATACTTAGCATAAAATTGCGAAAAAACGTTGCATGGAAAAAATCTTTTATAACTTTAAAACAAAACCCTGAAGGAAAATTCACCGGAAAAGAAATCCGAGTAGTCCGGATTTTGAATATAGTATCCGTTATATTCATACTCTGCCTGATTCCGCAGTCGGCCATTTTGACGGCTGCTGCGATTGTTCGAGGTCTTGGTATACGCGGCACTTATTTCCAACTGGCACTTGTTCTGTACAGCTTCGCCTTTCTCATGGAGACCTTGAACTCCAGTGTCAACGTCTTCGTTTACTACAACATGAGTGGCCGGTACAGAACAAGTTTGATGGATTTGTTCCAGAGTTCTAAAGGGTTCACTAAAAAGGAATCTAGATTTGAGGGTTAATCTTTGAATTGTGAATCTGGTGAAAAAAATGTCTACCAGGAAAAGACTATTTTAGTATAAAGTATATTTTTCGTAAAATGATTTTCTTATCCATCTTAGAAATTATGTTAGGATTCTTATCGTATTCCTTGGTAGATAATACTTCTAGACCAATCATACTAATGTATCAATGTAAAAACTACTTCATTCTCAAAGCTAAGTTACACATTCAAAACAATTATCAGTTCCTTCATAATCTTAACTTTTAATTATTAAAAGCTGTATTAAAAAAAAAGTATTTTTTTCAATGCATTTTTAACACAACAAAGTTAAATAATTATGAATTATTCACAAACAACTTAAAGTTCTCTTTCCGAACCTGACGGCCAATAGGGCAAGTGAATTAGAGTTCACCTGTTTTTGTTATCTCGGCATATGAAGGGAAAGTGTGGTCAGCACTATGCCCAGCCGCTTTTACTTTCACAAACGTGGGTTTTGGCACCCTTTAAAGCTGGGTGGACTCAGAGACAACCTACTGTCTTGAACCCGGATTCAGGTTAGCAGTCTAGCGCTCTAACGCTAGACCACGCCGTCCCGTAAACATTTTACGAGACATTTCGAATCTGTGTTAAAGTAAACATAGATTTAAAAAAGAACATTACATGTTTCAATACTAAACAATGTTTATAGAAATATACTATTGAGTCAAGTATGAAATGAGATATTTCCAGTTGAAACTGGTGGATACAGAGTTAGATATTATGACTAAATTTCAGCACTGTGATCTAAGTAGAAACATATCTTAAATATAACAAATTTGTTATGAAATTAATTAACTTTACAACAAGTATTTTGATAGTATTTTAATACTTTTAATCAGACTTTTCTTTTCAAAAGTAATTATTATTTTGAAACTTTTTTTTTTAAATAAATATATACCTGAGATTTCAATTACAAAAATAAACTTTAATAAATAACACTCTAATACAAACATTGTCAACTTTGTTAGGTTTATATAAATAATATCACAGTTAATAGCTGCCATTTTTTTTATGAAGTGTTCACATCATTGGAATTATGGAACCAACAATAATAATGTTTGTAAGGCCACGAATAATCATCTTGTTTTGCATAATGTAGTGAATTTTTGTGCTTTGTTCTAAAATACACATTTCACTAACACTTTATTTTTTTAAATGATCTAATGTCCAAGCACTAGATAATACTTTCATGGTAACGTTACCTCCCTTTGTCTTGCTATTCTATGCTGACTGTTTGGAACCATGTAACAGGTTTGAAGTCATTGAACTCCTGCCCATCCCACTCAGTGCCCTGCCAAATTGTGCCCTTCCTATTTATGCCCTGACAACTTGTGCCCTGTCGTCTTATGCCCTGACAACGTATACGCTGGATCACGCATTCAAATCCATGTCGACCTTTGCTTGTGCCCTGAGAGTATATGCCCTGACAACTTTTTAATGCGTTGTATACGCCCTGTCGCTGCATGCCTGGCCTGCTTGTGCCCTGCCACTGATTGCTATTCGAGCTTGTGTTATACCATCCTATATCCTGACAGCTGCTGCCTTTACAATGATGCCCGTGTTGTTCTTGAATATCCCAGCACGGAGTAATTTCTGCCGCATTCTTCCAAGCAACGTTATAAGTCACTGTAAAGATTTTTTTTAAAAACATACAACTGTTTTTAAACAGCCTTGCTATAAAATCAAACAAAAACAATTAGGTCGATGTGGTCGGGTCGGTTTAGTCTATTGCTGCTGAACTGAGTTCATATATATATATATATATATATATATATATATATATATATATATATATATATATATATATATATATATATAATTATCTTCTTGGAGACGTTAGAAAACAAGCTGTAATTGCGCTTTGCAGTCCCCTCTCTTCCTCTCTATGAAGTCTGGTGAGTTGTGGTTCACGCTAAATGTTTACAATCATAGAGCCGGGTTTAGTGACAGCTATTAGGGGCAGATAATTTGGTTTGAAATGATTTTAAACTTTAGGGAGGTAGCTAAGAGGAGGCTGCTTTCACGTGGGGGGGGGGGGAGGGGGGGTTATCGTCCTTAACGACTTACTGATAGTGTTTTAAAGCTAATATTTTCAGTGACAGAAGTGGTACTGTCGAATTCACAAATTATGTATTACTGAAAAGTTGAACATAAAAAAAACAGCTAAATAGCGGCGTATGATACGCCGTGGTTCGGCTCGAATATATATATATTCTGAAATTTTCCGTGAATAGGTTTGACCTCAAACTACTGCGTAGAATGGATAGGTCGACGTTGTATTCATAAGACAGTGTACTCGACTTTTTAAAGCAAACGGAATTACATTGAATAAAAATATCAGTTCTAAATTAAGTTCAGTGATAGGTGAGGAGGTGAAAAGAATTTTTTTTAAATCAAGGTATTATTATATAACATTGCTCTGTTCCGCAACTGTGCCCCCCTACGACACAATATAACAAAGTTATTTTAAAAAGTAAAGTTTCTGTTTAAACTAACGATCCAAGTGACCAAGTTCATATGTTTCTTGACCTCGGCATGTGAAAGGATAGTGTGGTCAGCTAGGTGGACACAGGGAAGTCGAATAGTAGTATGACTTAACGAGATCCGAACTCGAGACATTCGGACGAGTAGTCATAAACAAAATGATATATAATGTATATAACATATATAACATATATAACATATATATATATATATATATATATATATATATATATATATATATATATATATATAGGCATATATATATATATGTTATATATATATATATATATATATATATATATATATATATATATATATATATATATATATATAATATATATATATATATATATATATATATATATATATATATATATATATATATAATATATATATATATATATATATATATATATATATATATATATATATATATATATATATATATATATATAAAATATATATATACATACATATATATAGCAAAATGATAAATAACACTTATTAAAGTGTGTTATAAATGATGTACAAACTACAAACGTTAATTTATTGCCAAAACAAAAATTATAAGTAAACCTACCTAAGGCAAAAATGCAGCTCATCACTACTAGGAATGTATTCACCATTGTTGAATACATTGTAATATGTTTGATTCAGCTAGTGTAATCCTATATATTCTTTCAATTACTCCGCCAGTGTGGTGATTGCTTAAACCTCTATACAGAAAATAATTGTTTTTCAATTATTAATTATATGAGTATAGATGTATATTTTTAAGTTTTTTTCACGGTTAAGTCCGATACAAATTGGTAGGTAACTTACCAGTAAGCGTGCGCCTTTTGCAAGATAATGTATGTCACACACTGAATGCAATTCTAATGACATGAGTTTCAATCTGTGTGCAACCGGAGTTGTAACAGTTATAATAGCGAGTTGCGCAGCTTGCGCCGTGACCTTTGTTGCCATGGTAATCATGGCTGTACCTTGAACCTAAATTCCTTGTTTCCGGTTGACCATTGCTAATTAAGGCCGTGTCGCTTAAGGCCCAACCACAGCACACCTGATCTACGCATGTCGCCGTGCGCATCTTTGTTTTAACCTCAAGAGGATTTAGATTCAAAACCTATTTTAATTTTTGGATCTCGTTTATTATCTTACAGAGGAGCAATGTGCTGAAATATAAGGTAAGAGTCTATGAATAATAAAGTACTTAATATTTAGAAAGAGATGCCTAAATGTTGATGAGAATAATAATTGGGTCTTGTAAAATTAACCTATATTTTAAAATTACGATTTCAATGGTCCGCAAGCCTAGGAAGGCTGTCCGCGAGAGAGCCTTAATTTCGCGCCAAATTTCCTGTGATTCTTACATTATTAAAATATCGCATTACTTGATAACGGCTCTCCGATATCTATGATATATTACTATTACTAGGCCAAATATTAATAATTTAGATTAAGAAGCCTACATTTACTAAGTTATTACGGTTGATTACTTAGACTTAGGACAATTAGGTCTAGACATTAATTTAATTTTTAGATTTTTACACAAGTAGACTTAAATTTTGATCTAGATTTCTAGATCTAGATCTAGATGATATTATTAAGATAGCCTAATAGATTTTGGATTTAGAAAAACAAATCCAGATTACTAGATCTAGCTCTATTGATCTATAGTAACTAGATCTAGATCAGACTATATAGATCTACTACTAGATAGATCTAGTAAAAAATAATCTACTGAATCTAGCTTTAGGCCTAGCTAGTTCTGGACTCTAGTTTAATTCTAGATCTAGAATCTAGATCTAATTGAATCTAATAGAGCCAACACTGATCTAGATTCTAGTAAGAAATAGGTGCTAGTTCATTTAGATATAGATTCTAGATCTAGAATCTAGATAAGTTAAATTAATTAGGTATAGGCCTAAGTGTTCATCTAATTCTGCATTAAGGCATTAAGTATTAACTAGTCCTGTCCTAGGCCTATACCATTTCAGTAATTAGCCTATTTATTTTAATTCAGTACATTTAGATGAACACAATCATTTAATCATTATGTTTGATTAGGACTCTACATTAATTTTTTAGTTATATTTTTACACGTTTTCAGTTACAGTAATGTTTTTATTATTTTTTATTTTTGCCGAAACTATTCTATTTCATACAAGTACTAGTCTAGATCCAGATCTTGTAAAATTAGTCACATAGTGAAACATTGTTAAATGGTTAAGAATAGATTTAGTCTAGTTCAGGTATAATTCTCCATCAAGTAGGCCTATAAATATATTTAAATTAATATAGGCCTATGTATTGTATATATCTATAACTAGTCCTATACAATAATATAATTTTATAAAGCCCTATGCCCTTAGACCTCTTTATTAAGGACAATTTTAGTACTTGATAATTTTATTAATATTAATTTAAATTCTAGACTTGTGTGCCTACAACTTGGTGTAAAGGGGATCACTAATGCAATCATAAACTTGGTGGCTGAGATAAAGCGGCTGAGGAGAACAGAGGCTTGTGAGTGGAATAGGTTGGTGGAACTTGTGTACAGCCCTTTCTATGTTCAACAAATGTCTCAGGTGGAAGTACATTCAGTAAGTATGGAGACTGAATTTATTTCAAATTTTTATATTTATTTTATGTACTTTGCAATACGTTGTGCTAGGTATATATTTTGTGAAATGGTCTCCTAAATTCTAATTCCATTTGCCCTTCTCTTTTCAGGTACAGTTTCCATGGAGATCCAGCTTTATTCAAGGCTCATCTTAAAGAGAATGATGTGGCTGCTGGGACATGACTTAAGTCTACATTCAACTGCTTGCAGATCTCAAGAAGCCTGGGGTTCTCGTGCAGCACCGCAAGCACTCAGGCTGATTAAGAAGTTAATTTCTGGCCCTTTGATAAAGATCATTTACAAGAATGCAATGTGGCAATCAAATGTAGATCTACTCTGTTTCTTAAAGTCATGGAAGCGTTGTTGACAGTTGACTTCTACTGAGCCTTTCTTGGTGCGACAGCTGGAGAGGTATCTGACGGGAAATCTGATTGGTGTCCAGCTGACTCATAAGTGGAAGCAAGGTGATCAGGGTGTGTCGCAATACAGTGGAAGGACTATCAAAAGGGTGCCAGAAACAAAACAAAAGTCAGCTCTTTACACCATAAGCTACTGGGCAGAGGATGAGGATAATTCTGAGGATTTCAGTTATCTGGCAGAATCACTGGTTGTTGACTTTGTAGGAATCTTGTTTTTCTTTCTGAATAATAGCTTATCAGAATTTCAGAGTACTTCTTTCATTTTTAGTATACAAATGAGCTTTATTTTTTAAACATTAGTGTTTTTGTAAATTGTTACTGAAAAAATGATTGCTCTGAATTGTAAACTTATTTTGAAAACTAATACTAACAATGTTTATAATTAAGTTTAGTTTTCATAGTGTAAAAAAAATTACATTTTAATTAATTACTTAACTAATTTTTCAGGGTAATTGACATCAGCTAGATAATCCTAGAATCAGTAGTTAATGTGCTTCAAAAATGTTGGTCCAAACTAATTTATCACACAAGTACTAACGCTTTTTAAAATATATATTTTTTCCTCAGATGTGCTAATTGTATCTAAAGATTAATTATAATTGATACTTTAGAAAATTGTTTTAACACTAAAAAAGAGACTAAAGTGGTCTAAGAAATTTTTCGACACCTATTTTTTTTTCCAGCATACATTCAATGAATGGTTAGATTTACTAGTAATTATACTTTAAACCAATATTTTAATGTTTATTCCTGGATAATTAATACTATACTACTTTTCTTCTTAAGAGGGATCGTAATGTGACGAGGCTCATTTCTTGTACTGTAGATTTGTTTCTTCACACTAATTATGATTATGTAACTGTTTTATGGTACTGTGTTGATCGTAGATTATACAAGGGCTAAATTTAGGTTGTCACTACGTAGTTTATTTCTTTGCTCTGATAAACATATTTTTAAATTATTGCAAAAAAATCTTTTTTTTTACTTTGCCATTCTCCTAAATGTTTCTATTTTATTAGACAAAATTAAAATTCATGTGGTAATCTGATTACTGTATTTTAATACTGTGTTTCTCACATTCTAATAATTTACATTGCATAGTTTAGTAGTAATAAACACTGGTACACACTTTGACAGCTGTTTTCTTTTATTTTGTTCTATAATTTTATTATGGCCTCCTGATATAGACACTGAATATCAAGTAAGTGGGGGGGGGGGGGCTGAGAAAGTAACGTAAAGGCAACCAGTTGCTGCTTCCATTTATCATGTAGTGTGTGTGTGTATGTAGGTCTACTCTACTTCATCTACCCAAGTAATATCGTTCATTACAATTAGATATAAAGAACTTGTGCAGTAATATGTGCTTATGCATTTCTATTATATAATAATAGTAGTAACAGTATTAAGTATTAATAAATCGATTTACAATAACTAGATCTAGTTTATTTTAAACCTAGATCTACATTATTTTTTTTTACACGGAGTAATAAGTCAATAATAAAATATGAATGGCATTAAATTACTCATTCAAATCACATCCAGTCCAGTATAACTTAGACTTTAAGCTTGATTATAATTTTTTAGTTTTAAAAAAAATGCGAATCCCGGATGATGCAATAAAATTATAATTTTTTAATTTTTCGAAAAATGCGAATCCGTGATGATGCAATGAAAAAACCATCGGTGCCAACTTTTTTGTTTATGTAACATTGACTTGAATGACGAAGGTCTAAGCTGTTTTAGCCACGCCCACAAATTTTTAAAAGGCCATATCTTAGCTCCTAATTAAGCTAGAGACACAAAATTGGTATCAATGTGTAGGGAAAAAAATCATCTTTTATTGTGGTATAATTTTACTTGAAATTAGTGGAGTTTAAAAAATACGAGCAACAGCCTAGTTATAACGTTATGGTTCTAATACAGGAAAACCCATTATGATTTAATATTCATGCAGTCTTTTTAATTTATACGTCATACTTATAAATACTTTTTTTTCGAAAATTCTGTACTGTAGGGCTTATATATAAATCAATAATAAAATCGGAAATTTTCTGTGATTGGGTTTTACCTCAAACTACTGCGTAGAATGAATAGGTCGACGTAGTGGCCTATTCGTAAGACAATGTACTCGATTTTTTCAAAGAAAACTGAATTCTATTGAATAAAAATGGCAGCTCTTAGGTCAGTATTTGGAAATTCACAAAAAAATAAATCATATAAATAACGTAATATATATATATATATATATATATATATATATATATATATATATATATATATATATATATATATATATATATATATATATATATATATATATATATGTGTGTGTGTGTGTGTGTGTATGTGTGTGTGTGTGTGTGTGTGTATGTGTGTGTGTGTGTGTGTGTGTGTGTGTGTGCGTGTGTGTGATTGGATAAGTGTGTGTGTCTGTGTGTGTGTGTGTGTTGATTAGAGTAGTGTTTTTCAGAGAACAGATATAAGCAGAGTTACACCACAACGCGTTGGCTACATATTTAGCTATTTTAAGACGTATACTATTCAGGTTGAATTCTGTTAATTGTATTAAAGGGTATTTTAGACAGTTATATTTTATTTTTTTTAAGTTATTTTGTTAGCGGTTTTTTCCGTTATGATGAAAACTAAACAGGCATTATAGATATAATTTAATTAAATTACATAATATTTTTCAAAAGAAGAATTTTATAATGAAAAAAAGTGAGGAAGTGATAACGTAAAAAACTTTATCAGATTACACTAACTAGATTCGTTTGTTTAATAAATCATTTAAGAGTGTCAGTAAATATGAGTTTCTGTAAAAGAAATTGTGAATAAGAAGATTAGAAAAAGCCTATATATATATCTCCTATTTTGACAAAGTTTAGATTTTATATTTCTTTATTAATGTTTTAAAATGAATAAAGAATGAAATGCTGTTCACCATTAGCCAATACCAATCAGAAAAATAAAATTTAGTACTGAAAGGAGTTGTTTCCCATGCAAACAATTGTATGGGGGGATGAAGCATACAAATATCTTACAAATATTTCAATAGTTGAGCTTAATATTTCATTATTAAATAAAGTGATATTGAGAAAACAATTATAATCGGGCCTGTTGGATGCAAAAACAAAAACAATTAACCCTTCAATCTGAAATATAAAATCCAAAAATACCGCTAAATAAGGGAATTAACATTTCCATAGGTATAGAAACAGAAGATCGTTTAAACATTTGAATTCGTCACAACAACAATACTAAACATCAGTGGCGTAGCGAGGTCGGGTGTTACCCGTGCGGCACTTAATGGTGTCACCCCCCCCCCCCAGAGGCGTAGCGACCCTTCCCGGAGACAAACTTTCAAATTTTCGATTTGCACCCCCCCCCCCCCTCAAACTTTCGATTTGCACCCCCCCCCCCTCAAACTTTCAATTTGCACCCCCTCCCCCTCAAACTTTTGATTTGCACACCCCCTCCCCCCTCTCAAGTTTTTCTCTATATATTTTGGTATTTTTTGCCTTGGTATCACCACCCTAAATGGGGTACTTAGAGCTTACGACTGCTGGCCCGCAAGTCTAGAGTTCGGATCCCGCGCACATGTCTCTACGAAATCCCTGAGTCCACCCAGCTCTGACGGGTACCTGACTAACGTTAGGGAAACTAATGCGGCTGGGCATAGCGCTGACAACACTATCCCCATGTTTACCGAGTTTATTGAAACAGATGATCTCTACTTTATTTGCCCCATGTGTCTTGGGTGCGAACGGGAAAAAATGGTATTGCATTTAAACAGCATCTACGGTGACATAAAACACGGAGAATCAGAACGGTTTGCATGATAATAAGTTAACCAACGCCCTCTAGGTCAGACCCAGAGGCGTAGCGACCCTTCCCGGCGCCCGGGGACAAACTTTTCGATTTGCGCCCCCCCCCTCAAGATTTTGATTTCCCCCCCCCCCTCAAACTTTCGATTTGCACTCCCCCCCCCCCCCCCCTCAGGATTTTTCCGGGAGGGCGGATACTGGTAAAAGTATATGTTTTTAAATGGCTGCGGATATTCGTACTTCACTACAAATAGCCCAATGAAGGCTATTCGTACTCTGACCAATCAGCGTTTCTGTGATTTTTCATGTTGTGTAGATCGAGAACTAATTATTTTTCAGATCTAACCTAATCACTAACCTTAAACCTAACCCTATGCCTAACCCTATGCATAACCCTAACCCTATGCCTAACACTAAACCTAACCCTATGCCTAACCCTAACCCTATGCCTAACCCTAACCCTAACCCTAACCCCAACCCTATGCCTAATCCTAACCCTAAGGCTTAACCCTAATCCTTAAGTAAAATTTAAAAACAAAAGCAAAAAAGAAGAAATTAAACACAGAGTCAATGGGAATAGAACCCACGCCACGAAAACAAACTGGCCAATGCACAACCATTTCAACCACTGGAGCAGTTACAACCAGTTTCAAAATTGGAATGTCATACACAAGCTCATGAAAATAATAAATAATAAAAAATAAATTTTTCTGAGGGCTATTTGTTGTAAACTACCAATAGACACTCTCTTTTAAATTCCATTTCGTCCGAGGGGGGCGGTAGATCTGTGTACTCAGGTGTGTTCTACGGACTCTGTGCCTGAATGCGAACTCGAGACTTTCGGATTGGCAGTCAGGCGTTCTACCACTCAACCACGCCGCTCCGCAATCAAGCAGAATACAGTGCACAATCGTTAGACTTAGCTGACACGTGTGTGTTCCTAGACACACGTGTATTCACTTGGGTATCTTGGCTATTACGCGAGACAAGTGTGCTGAGCCGATGAATACCTTTGTTACATACTATCAGGGGCGGAACTACCATACCGCCAGACCCCGCAATGCAGGGGGGCCCAGGACGTTTAGGGGCCCAGTTCCGACCAAAAAACATTGAATTCTTTTTTCAAAAATTATGTTTTCATTCATCTTGAAAGTGGTTTTGTAAAAAAAAAAAAAAAACAACAGGTCTACTATAGCAGAGATTCTTGCGTAGAAAAATATTTTAAAATCTACAAGAGCTATAGTTTGAAAGGTAGGTAAACATTCACACTACTTCCATGACTTACTGCCCTTCTTTAAAATAGGGATGCCCACAAAGCTTATTTAAATAGTTTTGTACTATGTATATTAAAAAGCAATTGATTCTCTGAATTGTTACTTAAATAAGACGTACTATACAATAATATAGATATAAAAATCAATGTTTTAAAAATTGATATTATAAAAGCCAAAAATGAAAAAAATAAACATAACGCGAGAAACCATTCGCGAATCAAGCTAACGTCTTTATATATTTTTGACCAGCATGTTCTTGATACTTTTGTAACACAAGATGAGTTTGGACTAAATTTTTTCTGGTTTGTTCTCTCAGAATCGTTATTTAATGCAATGAAGTAGACCAAATTACTCAGTTAGGATATATATATATATATATATATATATATATATATATATATATATATATATATATATATATATATATATATATAGGGGGCCCTAATTTTTTCTTTGCGGGGGAGCCTTTTTTTTTCTAGTTCCGCCACTGCATACTATAGCCCATGTTATTAATATAATTAAATGACGCCGGGCTTTTTATAAAGAACTAGCGTACCCGTCCCCCGCGCGTTGCCGCGGGGATAGAAGGAAGTTAGACGAAATATATTAGAAGGATTTCACCAACGCGTTACCAATCATATGCTCTTAGACGCGTGACCTTTTCTAAAAGTGAGTTATTTAAATGTAAACAATGCCTGCGCTTGGATCATAAATATCGGGACACGGGTTTATCTACACTACCGCATGAAAACCTTGAGTGTACATTAATCACTAACCGAAATAATATGGTAAAACACACTTTGGTGACCGCCCATGTGTCAGAGACGTACAGAGGCGCTCTCAGAAGCCCTCCCCCAGATTACACTACCGCAAAGGCGCTGCATACCACCCCTGGCTCCTTAAAACTAACAGACGCCATCGTGCCAAATAGCCTCCTGTTAACAATGATGCAGATTGCGTCATTCGCTAAAGTGACACAGATGAATAGGATTTGTTATTTAACACGTACTAAAATTATTAGACGTGTTTTAAACATCAGTGAGACTGATGCAATGTGTTAGCGTTACTAATGGTCTATTCTTAGATGCTCGATCTCAATTTCTGTTTGGATTATCTAAAAATAGATGCTAATGGCATCATTCGCAAAGTCACGAAACTGGATTTTTTTAAAGGCAAAAAGAAACATCCTAGTTAATAATCTAACCTTGGTTAATTTTTCAGATTATTAAAATAAAACGTATTACATGGCCCTCAGCGGCCCATGTGAGCCTTTGGGGGCTGAAACAGACATTTTTATTTGCAGCCTAATCGTACCCTACCAGGGCGCCAGAGGACACGCCTGATTCAATTTAGTAAGCGTTTGTAACGCCTCCTCCTATCCATTGCCTATCACACTGTTTAGACCGAACATATTCTCATGGGAAAGACCAGGGCGCCAAATCGCATCCTGCCGTGGGGCCGCCGATGCAAAATTAAATCCCCCCTTCCCCACCACCTACCCACCCGTATTCCCCCCTCCCACCCCAAAAACCTTCTCGGGAGTATTCATCAACTCCCTAAAGTTTTTTATCACCGGGATAAACTGTGTCGAACCGCAATCGTCTTTTATTTTTATATACCGTAGCGCCTATATAGAGCAAAATCCCAAAATTCCGTGGCGCCGCCCTTGCGAAACTAAAAAAAAAAGATTTTTTTTACAGAAACCTTCCCTGGAGTGTTCTAATCAACTCCCCAAAGTTTGATACCGATCGGAATAACGCCGCGAAACCGCAATCGACTTTTATTTTATATACTGTATATAGAGAAAAATCACACCCTCCCGTGGCGCCGCCCTTGCGAAATTAAAAAATAATTTTTTACTGAACCCTTTCCTAGAGTGTTATAATGAACTCCCCAAAATTTCATGCCTATCGGATGAACGGTGTCAAACGAAAACCGACTTTCTTGGTTATATACTGTATATAGAGAAAAAACAAATCGCGCCCTACAGGGGCGCCACCCCTATGAATTTGAAAATGGTTTTCACGCAAAATCCTCCCCAGGAGTATTCTCAACATTTTCCCAAAGTTTCATAGCTATCGTG